TCAAACAACATTGGACCCCATTCACTTTCACTGATTGAATTATCAAAATATCTTCTTTTTTGATGAACTATTTAAGTCTCTTGTTTCTCATGTGTTTCTCCAAAGAAAATATTAAGTTCTCAAGACTTTAAAGTGTGCAAAAGTCAAGTTCTCACAAGATGAAATGATCTGAGCTACTATACCGTTATATAGCTCAGTTTATACTATTACTTTCACTGACACTATTCACTCATTTCAGTCCATTTTTTTCTTTGCACACTGCAAAAAATTATTTTCTTAGTATTTTTGCCTTGTTTCCAGTCCAAATATCTAAAAATTCAAGAATGCGCTTAAAAGTAGAAAAAAATATGGGGTAAGAAAAAATTATCTTGTTTTCCAATTGAATTAAGATAATTTTGCTTGCTTTAAGAAAATGAGATATATTTTTTGTTTATTATATTATTTTTATATCATTATATCATTAGATATAATAATTTATGTTATTTTAATCATCTAGTAAATTCTTGATTTAATGCATTCTTGAATTTTTAGATATTTGAACTGGAAACAAAACAAAACTATTTTTTTTTTTGCAGTGCAATACTTCAATGAAACTTCCCTGAAAGCTCTAGTAAGTCACTTTAGGGAACACCTTTAGACTTTTGACTATCATCCTGCTCTGAACACAAGTATCATCTTATATGTGTGACATATTATTACTCAAATAAAAGAATAATTTAATTTTCATCTGGCCCAGAGCCATTAAAGCTGAATTGCAACTATAAATTCACATCAGCTTTGATATATTGTTCAAGCTAAAGCTAATTTAAGAACAATCATAAAATATAAATGTGCAGAAGACGCTTTTACTTTGGGGTAGGTGGATAATTACATCTGTCTGTGAGCGCTCAGACTTGGCTCAAAGTTTCTGGGGTGGTAGTCGAAGATTTGGACAAATTATGAGGGATAAAGAGCAATCATGTGACGACATAAAGTCTGGTCGCATTGCTGGTTATTCTGGCCACCAATTAAACGCCCCAGACAGAAAGAGACCGTGACACGTAAAATGACTTTTTAGGGATGGGGTTATCTGAAATATATTGCAACACAATAATAGACCAGTGTAAAAAACATTAAACTATTATAGGTGTAAAGATTACTTTTCCTGGAAGTCAAGAGCAATAATGCAAATGGGCTGGCTACGCATTTGGAAAATGTTTCAAGCTTTCTTTCTGAATCATCATCTATCATCAACCTGGGACCAAATCACTTTTTTATAATAATTTTCCAATATGGTTATTTTTCTTTTCTCCTATGTGAGGTCCACTTTAAGGGATCCAACGTTTTTTTTTCTATCGACATGTACTTCAAAAAACCAAGATGGCTTCACTTTTTTCTCTGTTATGATACCTTGAAACCTATGCATCGTACAGCAAAATTAGATCTTGTTAAAACATGATCCATTTCTTTTACATCTTCATAACAAAAGATCTTTTTATGAAATCTGAGAGCTTTCTGTCCCTCCATTGACAGTCTACGCAAATACCACATTTCTACACTTCAAAAAGTTCATAAAGAGATTGTGAAACGGCTTCACTAACATTCAACTCACACATCAGTTGTAAATGAGAAACAATGAGGTTCATTCTCGTGTTACCTTCAGCAAGAACCAATAAGGTTCATTCTTGCTTATCAACCAAGCTTCTATATGTTTGGTGATCGTTGTTTATATGTGAATAAAAGCCTCAATTCAATCTGTTCATTATATAAAGCGATAGATTCTCTTCAGCAAATGTGGACTGAACTGCTCAATTCATGTATGAATTCATATGAATATGGATCGTTTTACAATCTCTTTAATAGCCGTCTGGAGGAAAAGAAAACTATCAGATTTCAACAAAAAGATATTTGTGTTTTGATGATTAACGAAAATGTTACGGTTTTGGAACTACATGAGGGTAAAATAATTACATAATTAAAATTTTTGGGTGAACTATCCCTTAAACTTACTAAAAACGTAACACCCTAGCAACCAAAACACTTTAATAATCCCATAATAACATGCTAAAACAGTCAGCACACCTTAGCAACCACATTGCAACAGGCTGGCAACACACTATCATCACAGACGCACTGTTTACATCTGCTTATGATACACATCGCGTCTCTCATATTTGAAACCAGCAAGATGTTTCACGCAGAATAGTATGTATAATGGCATACCTGTGTCAACTGAACATCAGATGCGATTCATAAGCCGTGTCGCTAATACTTATTTCAGTACTGTGTTCACGTTAGTGTATTTTAATACGCTAATCCAAATATTTTATTCAGACGGTTATTTTCCGCTAACGATGCTTACGTTGGCGACTGACTTGGCGGCAAAGTTAGTAGCCTACTTGTTGATTGACAGGTGAGTAGGCGGTGCCTCAGGACACTACAAACCTTGCAATGCCAATGTGATGACGTACCTTTCCGTCATGGGTGAGTCCGAAATCGCATACTCTCTTGAGTAGGTTCGAACTTATTTTTGAATAAGTAGCTAATATGAATATTGAATGAGTAGGCTAATATGTTATCATCTAGACGCACTACATTCGCCATGTTTCCTTTATCACGTGACCTATAAGCGTCAGTTGCGTCGCTTCACTGCAATTCATAAATCCTCTTTTTTTTAAATTCATAAATCCTCTACCGTGACCTCATGGGATAGTAAATTGCCACACTTCAAAATCACACCGGAAGAAAAAGGTCATCCGGGTACTTTTACCGGGTAATAGGGTGAATTCAGGTTGATCAGGTTGATACATTTTCCCAGTCTTATGATTATCAATGGCAAAAATTGTCCCAGTAAACTTGAATTCACCCCACTGTTTTACGCCTTCTACATTAGATATCGCAGAAGTATGCGATATCTAATGTAGGCTATGTTATTTTATTAATCTCGTCACATTTACATCTGTGTTTAACAGTCTTCACTTGCAACCAGTTCACGATTCGGTTCGAATCATATCAGAAATAATCAGCAACATTCTAAAACGCCACTCTCAACATGACACATTAGAACCTAGCAACGTTCTTAAAACACTCAGAAAACCCTAGCAACCCCATAGCAACATTCTAAAATGCCACTCACAACAAAACACTTCAGCAACCACATAGCAACATTCTAAAATGTCACTCAGAACACCTTAGAAACCTTTTATTAATGCCCTGACAACTTAGAATTGAGAAACTAAAAAAAAAACTTTTTTTTGTAAATCTAAAAATTTATTTTATGAGTTTTAAATGCTAAAATGTGACCAGTGATTGAACCACCAGTACTTTATTTCTCCATTTCATTTAGTCTGAATTGAAAAGTTGTGCATGTCCAAACCAGAATGCATATCAGTCTTCTCTCTCTCTATCTGCAGCTATTAGTGTTTCAATTCAACAGCCTGGCATCCACACAAGAGTCCCGATAAAGACAGCACACTGCGGCACGAGGAAACTCATGTCCAATCAGATCTGCTGTCCTCAACATTGAGCCAAGCTGAGCGTATAAATTAGAGTAATAAATCAAGCTGATAAGCGAGCACAATCTTGGCATTAGAACACGAAAGGCTAAATTGCGTTACATTATCGTAGCACATAATGTGAGCCAGTCAGGTTTGTAAAAGCGGCAGCTATGCCAAGGACAAGTCAGAGGTATAGAGGAGGTACAAGTGTTGGCTGAAAAACAACCCAACGAATAACCCAACCATGGGGTGGTAGATCACTGTGAGTTATTTTTAACCCAAACAGATGAGTTAACCATTTATTTTTATTTATGCCATTATTTTAATCAATAAAATAGGACTATGAACACAAATAAATGTTTTAATGGGTTTTAAGTATTAAATTATAAATATTAGTAAGCCTAGTATGTTATACACAATTATGTGTATAATAATAATAAATAGAACACACACAAATGTGATAATGTGCAAATATTAAAATTAACACATTCAATTCAAAACCTGTGCACATACAGTACACAAATTGATAGGACAGATGTGCACATACTGTACACTCTAAAAATTGCTGGGTTGTTTTAACCCAACTTTGGGTCAAATATGGACAAACCCAGCTTTTGGGTTACATTTTTTAAATTACATTTTTAACCCAACGTTTAGGGTTTGTCCATATTTGACCCAAAGTTGGGTTAAAACAACCCAGAATTTTTAGAGACTACAGGAACGTATTTTACCCAACTGTAAGGTTATAACTTAAAATAACCCAATGAGGCAAACAAATAACCCAACATATTTTAAGATAACCCAACAATGACCCACACTCTAAAAAAATGCTAATTTGTTTTAACCCAACTTTGGGTCAAATATGGACAAACCCAGCCTTTGGGTTACATTTTTTAAATTACATTTTTAACCCAACGTTTGGGTTTGTCCATATTTGACCCAAAGTTGGGTTAAAACAACCCAGCATTTTTAGAGAGTACAGGAACGTATTTTACCCAACTGTAAGGTTATAACTTAAAATAACCCAATGAGGCAAACAAATAACCCAACACATTTTAAGATAACCCAACATAATGACCCACACTCTAAAAAAATGTTAGTTTGTTTTAACCCAACTTTGTGTCAAATATGGACAAACCCAGCCTTTGGGTTACATTTTTTAAATTACATTTTTAACCCAACGTTTGGGTTTGTCCATATTTGACCCAAAGTTGGGTTAAAACAACCCAGCATTTTTAGAGTACAATATGCGTAAACCAACAGTTGGGTTAAAATAAAAATAACTCAATGTTTTTTTACAGTGTGTCGTCATGCTCATCCTCCGTAATTATTGCTGATTAGGTCTTTGTAAGTGTTTGTCGGCAGCGTTTGCTTCTCCCTGATCTGGGCTCTGCTCCAGTGCTTGCTTAGAGGCATCGATCAACACGTTTTGAAAGGGACATTTGTGTAATGAAGATGTGACCCTGTCTGTGATGGGCTGGATGTGAGAGTGCACTATGTAATGAAAGTCTTTTTATTACACAGGGACTGATGCCACACAACTCATCTGACTCATAGCGGAGGACGGAGAGCCCTGGGCCGAGGGGCGATGACTGTATTTCCCATGGAAAACTCCAGAAGCATCTCAAAGCACTCTTTCTCTCACACACACACCCCTGCTGAAACAAACAAGCAAACCGTTGTACCAATTTAAAGTCATCATGGCCTTCACAACTCATTTTATTTATATCGTCAGATGCATTTCTGATTAAAACGGGAAAAAGTGGGAGTCGTGCGATTGGAGGGGCGGGATTAAAAAGTAATGTCACCTGAAAAGGAAAGTCGTTTCAGAGGCGGATGAGTCGTAACATGTTGATGAAAGATTATGAAAACAAAGAAGTAATGTGCATCCATGAATTTTAGACAACCGGGATAGTGTATTAAGAAAGTCTGTGTTGCTCATATTTATTTCCTTACTCAAACAGCATTATTTTGAAAGTGTTTTCTTGGCTTTCGTCCATGAAGTGTAGTGTTTTCAGGCTGTGACGTAAACTAAAGAATATAGAGGGCAACTGTCTGTTTCCGGAAGTAAAAACTAAAAATGTATTTTGAAAAATAACTTATAAACCAGCACTAGAGCTACAAGATAATTGGACAAAAAGACTAAACGTTTTAGTGAAGGAAACAACTACAATCCCATTAGTCATTGCGAACAGCATCATTGAATTACAAACGAATTTAAAACTACAAATGTTGATTAACATTGTTTAAAATTAACAAATGCTGATTAACATATATATATATATATATATATATATATATACAGTGCAAAATAAACTTGTTTCTGATTGGTGGAAGTTATTGTAGGGCATCATGGGTAATATAGTTTTTCACCATGGATTCTGCTGTAAAAGAGTTACATGTGAAACTCGAAAAATTTGAAAATCGTGCAAAAGTTCATTTATTTCAGTAAGTCAACTTAAAAGGTTAAACTAATATATTATATAGACTCATTACATGCAAAGTGAGATATTACAAGCCTTTATTTGTTATGATTTTGATGATTATGGTTTTACAGTTTATGAAAACCTTTTTACAATATTCTAATTTTGAATATGGGGTTTTCATGAGCTGTAAACCATAATCATCAAAATGTTGATTTATATATATTTTAAGTTTATATTTTGCTGAATAATAATAATATTATTAATATAATACATTACGAAAAAAGTTCAGAAAAAAGAGTCGATCTCTATACGCTCTCAAATTACTTGTTTGTATATCACTGATTCTTGAGAGTTGGGACAAAACACGTTATAAAAAACTTTTTTTTAAAATACACAGTATGTCAAATAGAGTTGTATGTTTCTGCAGAGAAAGGTCTTAGCTATTTAACCATGTAAAGGAACAGGTTCTAAATAAAAACATATTTTTAACAAATAAACATGTTTCCCTTCAGAGCTGGATTTGTGTCAACTCCGTCAGACACACTAAAAAGTATACAATTTTAATTCTTCCAATCCAACAAGAATCTAAACTTCTGAAGTATATTGTAATAGTGTATAGTTACACTGATATGTAAAAAAATACAATATATAAACTTAAGTTGTGATTTCACACAATTCTGAAAACTCAGATTTCTAAATATTTGCATTTTTAAACTTTGATTTTAATTTCAATAGTGTAAAAACAAATTTCTTAAATAAACAAAACATAAGAAGATTTAGATCAGATGGTCCTTTATTTAAAAAAACAACATAAACTGAAGGAAGAAATTTTTTTCCCAAAAAATTAACAAAAACATACATCCAACGCTGTTGATGAAGATCTGACGGTGTTGATGAAGATCTGACGGTGTTGACAAAAAAATATGTGCATTGTGATTATTGAACAGATGTGCTTTTTAAACTACTACTAAAACTACTCCTTGTTATTAGAGTATTGAACTTACTGTAAAGCAAACTATAATAAACATGTTGCACATACACTTAGTTTCCAACTATTATAAATTATACCATTTCCAAATGAAGAGTTCAGATGCAAAAGCCTCTAAGTGCCATTTGAAATTTTCTTCTAAAATGATAATTTTTTATCAAGCTTGTATATTTAAGTTCAGTAATTTCACTTAAATGGCAATGAAGATTACCTATTAATTGTCATTTAAGTGAAATTACTGAACTTAAATATACAAACTTGATAAAAATGACCATTCTAGAAGAAAATTTCAAATAGCATTTAGAGGCTTTTGCATCTGAACTCTTCAAATATCAAAAAAAAAAAAAAAAAAAAAAAGAAGCCAGAAACCAGGGGCCCTCCTCCCCTTCTGTTTTCATCTACCCCCCTATACAACTTCCTGCTCTCCCTTTTCTCATCCTCCTCTTCCTTTTCTCCTTTGTAAGTAGCCATTTACTTTAAAGTGGTGTGGGTGTGGGTGGATGTGGGATTGCCCTGCACTGCCTACTTTATAGTGATCTTAAATGGACATTCCTTGACAACAATACTGGGGCCTCATTTATAAAACTTTGCGTAGAATTTGCGTCAGAAGTGGCGTACGGATGAAACATAGGACGTGTGTACGCACAGAAATATTCGGATTTATAAAACCGTGCATCACGCACAAAAACACGCACATCCTACGCATTTTTCCCTTAATAAATCACAATCAATTCTATAGCGCAGCTTTTGCGGCTTCATGTCACGCCCATAGTTGCCCATAAATAGTCCGTGAAACACCCACAAGTTAATATTCATCAATTGCGAAATCATGTTAAAAACAGAGAGGAATTTAAAAAAAAACTTAACTTCACTCAATGTGAAGTAGAAGTTATCATTGGCGAGGTGGAAAAGAGGAGAAAAATGTTGTTTGGAGGGCACAGTGTGGGCACTTGAGTGGCAAAAGATTGCAGACGTTGTAAATGCTGTAGCCTCACAACCTCGGACTGTGGCCGAAATAAAAAAGAAATGGTCGGACATCAAAGTCGAGGCAAAAAAGCGTCTAGTCATTAATTCAATTAGAGAGGTGGCCAAGGAGTTGGGCGAAATCAAGACTGTCCTGACTGAAATAAACTGCACAATGAGGGAATTCTTGAATAAATAATATATTTTTTCCACACCCTTTGTTGTGAAGATGATGCGTTCACTCCGAATCCTTCCATTTAATCGCCACATCTTCTAAGAGCTCAAGATCAGCCACTGTGGGTCATTATAGCCTACGCATTGTGATGAGGCATTTTATTTCCATCCATTTAATTCTGCATCTGACAAGCTACGGTTATAATCTAAATGGGAAATAGTTCAGCGCAAATGTAATTTCTTGCAGCTTTCTGAATGGCTGAGACATACATCATACGTTATTTTATCAAAAATAAAACAAACTAAAGGCATGAATACCATGATTCCGTAGCTGATGAAGATATTTTTACAATGAAAACGACTTTCCCCAGTGGACAAATAATACATCTATCTATTTATCGATCTATAGGCCTATATATCTCCCTAATTATCAATCTATCTGACTATCTAATTGCTATCTGCTCCGTTAGACGGACATAGGCCTATTGGCGAGAATATTTTGTACATGATTTCGTTCTGTTCAGTGTTTACCATCTTATTTATGAGGATGAATTGTATATGCCAATATTATTGCAGAACTTATTTCACTTTCTTTTTGGAAATATGTGTTAATTTGCATTTCTGTTGCAGATCAATCAAACGGGTGTTCGTGTAGGCTGTTAATTGTAAGACTTGTGACTTTGTGAAGTCTTCGTGTTATTTATGAGAGGCAGTATTGCCATTTATTTTACACAACCGTCTACAGTTACACACACTTTCACATGTTTTTTGCAGACGGTGTCGCCATTTCTCATTTCACTCGTTTTTGTGCGTACACCTGGGTCAGAGCTTGCGTGAAGGACCGCACATTTTACCGTCAAGTTTGCTTTTTATAAATACCAACTATAGAGCGGTGTAGCCTATGCCTTCTTTTGTGCGTACGCAACGTTTATAAATGAGGCTCCTGGACCTTTTCTGTGCCTCTCTCCAATACTTTCTCAAATTCCTCTTTGCCCTGTCTCCCATCTCGTCTATTTGTTTTACTTTTTTGTCTTTAGCTCTCTTCTTTCACCTTTGTCTTTCCTTCTCTTGCATGCTTGCTCTCTTGGTCACTGTTTATTTTTTCTCTTCTCTTTCATTGGAACTCTCTATTTCTTCGCCTTTGCTCCTCAACTGACAATTTCTGTCTGGCCATGCTTCCCTACAATACAAATTTAAATAAAGGAAAATGTACATGAATAAGACTATAGAATCAGATTTTGATAATTCAGATCATGATAAATGTTTTTTTGGTCATAATCGCCCCCAGCCCTAGCCTGGTAATACCAGACTCTGCTACTTCTCTTTTCGCGAAATGAAATTAGCGGAAGTAGGAAGTCTGACGTAGTCAGGCTACCCCAGCCCTACATTGGCTTCTAATTTCTCCATCTCTGTCTCTACATATAAAGATACACTATATATATATATATATATATATATATATACAGTATATATGTGCTGGCAAAGTTACACGTTACACAATAATAAGCAGACCACTGCCTCACCATTCTCTACAAGCCAGATGTGTATGGTTAAATAACGTAATGCATGCTATTATAGCCCTACAAAGCAAAAAGGCAGTAACTGCAGTTTTGGTAAACCATTAATTATTACAATTTTCATGACATTCAAGGCATCCTTTGTTATGACAAAACATCTTATCTTAAATGTGTGTCGTTTTAGAGAAAAATGGTAGTCGTTTGTACAGTAACTGCAAAAAGCCCTAGCAAAAGTCATTTTTCTCAGTTCTGCACTCTGCGTAGTTACTGCCTTTTTGCTTTGTAGGGCATTTATGTCTCAGTAAAACCCTGAAATAACAGTTTAACCCTTCACTATATTCACAAATAATATTATATTCACACATTAAGAGGTTATTGGTAGATTTGTCAACTCCGTCAGCTTACAGGTCAACTCCGTCAGACATAGAACCTGACGGAGTTGACGTCTGACGGAGTTGACGTAAGGGCATGTATTTTCCCGCCAAAACATGTATTTCACACTGCAGCTAGGTAGTTTTTCCTCAGTTGCTAACTGTCCCAATAACCTCACTAAAATGCTTTAATTCAATCCACTATGTTTTAAAAAAAAGTATCTTAAATGAAAGACAGTATTGACATTGTGCAGCTGTGACCAAAGGAATATTGACATTGTTTGTCTAAAATATAAAAAAATGTAAAACATACCAGAGCATGTGTGGTAGTGCTGCTTTCACCACGGACAGGGAGATAAAAAGGGGTCCTCAAGGATATAGCTGACCATGCTATTTCCTGATTTTAAGAGCTTTATGAAAAAATCTGACGGAGTTGACAGAAGCTGAGGACGCAACTTTAATAGGCAGATTTTTATGGAAAATATTGTTTGATGTTCACTTCATGCATTGTTTTTTTTATATTTATACCCCTTATTTTTATTTGATATATATGTTTTCACAATTGTAGAGCTTTTTTCAATATTTTTGGAATGGTTAATATTGTAACTTCATGCTGAGGACAAGTGCATTAACATGGACTAT